GCTGGGATTTATTCAAAGACTAGGATTCAACTAAGGAAATATAGTACAGGTAACCCCTGTATAACATGGGAGTTATGTTCCAAAAAATTGTCATGTTATGCAAATCCGTGTTATACGAAACAAAGAACTAGTGCAAAAAGGGGGGTTAGGTTCCAAAAATTAAAAAACACGCTGTTAAATCCTTATTTAAATCGGATTTATTATTCATTTTTTTCATAGGTAAAATATTTATTATTTTAGTAAATATTTTACCAGAGGATTATTCATCCTTTATGATGATCTCAGCATGAGCATCATCAACTGGTAACAGTTTTTGGGTGTGTTCATTAATTAATTAATAGCAGTCACTCTGCAACGGGAGTGTACTGCTGTTTGTAGGCATTTAGGAACGACGGTGAAAGAAAGATGGCAGTGCCTGCACTATCGCAGTTAATTTAGTATACTGAGAAAAAATAAGTTTGAATTCTGTATCTGATAACTCTTAACTATAATTAATAAATTTGAAAAATTTTTCTTCAAATTACAAAAGGGAGAGAAAGAGAGATCTGTCAGATTATGAAAAAAGGAAGTCTTGAAGGTTTGTGACTTTCAAATGTATCACTAATGAAAACAGCATGTAAAATTGATTGAGACAAAAGCACTATTTTAAAATATATTAACAGACATCAAAATACCACTGGAAAATCAAAATCTGGAGAAAAATCAAAACTAATGTCACAAAAAAAAAAAAAAAAAATTATACGTATTTGTATCAATTATACAAAGTTTGTATATAGTTAATAGGAGCCTCCTGCTCCTTTCCATATCTGGTCTCAGCTTTCACCTATCTAATTCTTGAGATTAAGGAAGGATGACAGTGGGAATTTATAGGTCTACAATTTTTTCAAATTGCAGCTCAACAAAGAATTTTGGTACAGTAATACCCCGAACTTACGCGATAGGTGGGACCGAGCAATAACCGCGTAAGTCGGGGTATAATTTCTCAATGTGTGTAAAATCTAAGTGGGATGTATGTAAGCTAATAAATGTTCTCGTTAATCTTATCTCGTCTTTTGATTCCTTCGCGGTTGTAAGAAATCACCACATAGAGTCTCTCGAGTCTCCATAGATATAACAAACACAGAAATAAATAACACAAAATAAATTGTAGCTATGTGTCGATTCCGNACCATTAAATGGATTATTTGTTGAAAGAGCATTCAAAGTAGCCTCAAAAACAATTAGAATGCTCGCATGGAGATATAAAAGAACGCACCCTTTATTACATTTCATGTTGTACGAGGGTTTTACCCAATTCCCGAACCATGCTAGAGTGAACTCGTGCTATAAAAGCACTGTGTTATATGGGGGTTACCTGTATATAAATGCACACAATCTTAAAAAAGCATTTTTAGGGCTCAATTCAAACTCTAACTGACACATTTGGGACCTTAACAGAGCTGTAGAGCATACTCATGACATTTTTAATGAAAAATCTTTATAATTTGTTTAAACATTCTCAAGTCTAAATCTGAACGAGTGCAAAACAATTGCAAAATAAAATTTTAAATATTTAAACTGTTATAGCATTCAACAGAATGTAAACAAACAAATATGTAAAATGTGTCACTGTATTCTGTCATCTGTATACCAGTCAAAAGACCTTGAAAATATTTCAATTAAAAAAAATCCAATTTCTCACAAAAATTTATGATAATCATTTTTAGGGGTAGCGTAAGTCGAGGTATCACTGTACTTTCAACAGCAATTGTTAGGATCAAACATTCTAATAATACAAATTTAGGACATCAAAAGCATACATAGACAAACCATTTCATAGGAAATTTTTCTTTTCTAAACAAGCATAATAGAACAAGCTATTTATAAGGAAAACTCAGACCATAATGGAATGTATTTCAGAACACAGAAGTGAATAAAATGATGACTTCTTCAACAGACTTTGTCTTCAATTTTAATTAATATGAAAATTACCATCCAGATGAATTTTACAAAATTGAACATATTTTTTTCTACAAAATATACCATAATCTTTTTTAAGTCCATCTTACAATTTTTGTTTTTGTAACCAAGTAAAAATTCTATTGATTACTGTTTTATTTTTTTATATCTCTTCTTAACCATCATCTAACATCTTATATTGAATTCATTTCAAATATATAACCAAATATTTGATGATATAAAACATTTCCATTAGTCATATCTCTTCACAAACTTATTCTACATATTCAATGAATATAATCCTGTTTAAGATCAGTAAAAATATTATCTTTTATTAATAATTTTTAAATTATTCAATCTTATTACCTGCATTGCTTAAAGCTACAGTATATCATTTTCTAGTCCTCTCTTTGAAAACATTGAAGATTGAAAATGTATTTTCATGTTAAATCTTATGTAAATAACTATACACAAAAAATATATTAATGCATTCATTTTTGAAATATATATATATATATTTCAAGAATAAATGCATTAAAACATTTTCTGCATACACTTACTCACACTCACATATATATATATATTTTCTGTATCTCTTTTTCTCTGTGTGTGTACATACAACATGTTCTCAATTAAACCACAGGGTTCATTTTTAAAACACACATCTTCTGGGGTTTATTTGAAGATTCAATTTTTTTTACCTTGCAACTAAAGACAGGTCAGTAAAAATAAAAATAATTACTTAATTACAATTCTGAACTATCAAAACTACTGACTGTATTTATGGGTTATAGTTACAACATTTGAAATAATTACTGTTCTCATAGTTAATCTGATTCGGTGTCTTCCAATTCAGTTATTACATTCTCTTTTGGGTCTGATGTCATTGAAAAAGATCAAGATCTTGACTAACACCTTCTGCTTCAAACTCGCTATCTCTTTCCAAAAGAGATGATGAGTTTAAACCATAATTTTCTTAATTACCCTTCACCGGATAAGCTCAACTTATTAACTCACTCATGTCTCTCCACATTCAAGTTTCAACAATATTTGTAACTTTATTTCAAAATGTTTCCATGAACCTTGGAATAGAAAGTGTTGTCCAACTCTAGACAACCTGAAGAGAAAGAATTTTAGTTAATCTCAAACTACATTATTCAATACAGTGCAATACTTCAATGTTTCCCCATGTTTCAACCTGGGGTTTATTGTTAATAGCACCTTTATTTGCTGGGATTTATTCAAAGACTAGGATTCAACTAAGGAAATATAGTACAGGTAACCCCTGTATAACATGGGAGTTATGTTCCAAAAAATTGTCATGTTATGCAAATCCGTGTTATACGAAACAAAGAACTAGTGCAAAAAGGGGGGTTAGGTTCCAAAAATTAAAAAACACGCTGTTAAATCCTTATTTAAATCGGATTTATTATTCATTTTTTTCATAGGTAAAATATTTATTATTTTAGTAAATATTTTACCAGAGGATTATTCATCCTTTATGATGATCTCAGCATGAGCATCATCAACTGGTAACAGTTTTTGGGTGTGTTCATTAATTAATTAATAGCAGTCACTCTGCAACGGGAGTGTACTGCTGTTTGTAGGCATTTAGGAACGACGGTGAAAGAAAGATGGCAGTGCCTGCACTATCGATAGTATTGTGATGGAGGAATCTATAAATCTAAAATGAGCTTTTAGAGGCAAAAGAAGGGTCCCAATTGTAAAATTTAACCATTAAATGGATTATTTGTTGAAAGAGCATTCAAAGTAGCCTCAAAAACAATTAGAATGCTCGCATGGAGATATAAAAGAACGCACCCTTTATTACATTTCATGTTGTACGAGGGTTTTACCCAATTCCCGAACCATGCTAGAGTGAACTCGTGCTATAAAAGCACTGTGTTATATGGGGGTTACCTGTATATAAATGCACACAATCTTAAAAAAGCATTTTTAGGGCTCAATTCAAACTCTNTATTTTGTCTGTTTTTTAACATAGCAACCCAAGGATGTTCTCTCGCCTCCATCACCAGTCGCCATTGCAAATTTTTAAATAATTAACTGAGCTGCCAGCTGCCGTTACTTATCTGGCAACATACTTATATGGAAAACCTATAACCATTAGCTGTACTCATTTTTTTTTTTCTTGAAAACAAATCTCTGCTCAATCATTGGTTCATCTTCCTGTCTATTTATAGTAAAACTGATCAATATCACATTTAAAAATTATATTTGTCTATTACCTATTATTATACATTGTAATTTGATCAGTTTTTTAATTGATCATTTATTATTCATTAATTGATCAATTATGATACGTATATATTATAATATAATATAATATGTTGATGTTATTATATTATATTATTATTAATATTTTATTCTTGTTTATTATGGAAAAAAATATAATTAAAGATTTATTATTTTTATTTTATAATGTATTTTACTGTATTCTACACTTTAAACAATTTTTAAAATGTGAGCTTTAAAAATTTTTGAAGAAAAACTCAAGTAAATTGTTGTAAATATTTATAATTGTAAGCTTCTTGCCCCTTATGAATTAAATAATTATCTCAAACAACTAATTGGTGGAGATATAAAAATGTATGAAAGTGTATTTATCATCAAAACAGTATAAAAAGTAATACAGAGAGAAAGAAATAAAATAATATTTGAAATACTTTATATAGATTCAGGAAAGAATCTATATAAAGTATTTCAAATGTCAATATTATTATTTATTTCATAATTCCATTTAATTTTCCTTATAATTTTCTCTGTATTAAATTCAGTTCACTCAAACTGAATAATTCATATTGAAGATTAATTAATTAACATATCACTCAGCTATACATTTAAATGGCCCTGAACGCCAAAACCTCAAAATTATTTCCCTTTCTTTCATTAAGGATCAGTTTTAATAGCTCATAATACGAATCAGTACTTCAGAATGGAATTAAAATGCAATCTTATTGTCTACTAAACTAATAATCTGTATGTAACAAGTCTGTATATAGGCTAAGAGAGTAACAACTTAGTAACCTAGTTAAATTACTTACCGTTACTCCATATTTAAGAGCTATACCTTGCAAAGTATCATCTGGATGCACTGTATGAACGATATATTTCTCTCTTCTATTAATATTATTTGAAACGCTGCCGTATTTTGTCTGTTTTTTAACATAGCAACCCAAGGATGTTCTCTCGCCTCCATCACCAGTCGCCATTGCAAATTTTTAAATAATTAACTGAGCTGCCAGCTGCCGTTACTTATCTGGCAACATACTTATATGGAAAACCTATAACCATTAGCTGTACTCATTTTTTTTTTTCTTGAAAACAAATCTCTGCTCAATCATTGGTTCATCTTCCTGTCTATTTATAGTAAAACTGATCAATATCACATTTAAAAATTATATTTGTCTATTACCTATTATTATACATTGTAATTTGATCAGTTTTTTAATTGATCATTTATTATTCATTAATTGATCAATTATGATACGTATATATTATAATATAATATAATATGTTGATGTTATTATATTATATTATTATTAATATTTTATTCTTGTTTATTATGGAAAAAAATATAATTAAAGATTTATTATTTTTATTTTATAATGTATTTTACTGTATTCTACACTTTAAACAATTTTTAAAATGTGAGCTTTAAAAATTTTTGAAGAAAAACTCAAGTAAATTGTTGTAAATATTTATAATTGTAAGCTTCTTGCCCCTTATGAATTAAATAATTATCTCAAACAACTAATTGGTGGAGATATAAAAATGTATGAAAGTGTATTTATCATCAAAACAGTATAAAAAGTAATACAGAGAGAAAGAAATAAAATAATATTTGAAATACTTTATATAGATTCAGGGAAGAATCTTTAAAAATTCTTTATACTATCAACGAAAAACAAGCTTTTTTTTATTATATTAAAAGTATTTTGAACTTTACAATTTTCATAATANAATAAAAATAAAAAATATATATATATATATATTTTTTATCTTGACCATCTTATCAATTTACTATTGGCGAAATGTATCATAGATAAATTTATATACAATAGTTTATCTATAGAAGATGAGAAAAAAATGCATATTCTTCAATAAACAATACTATATTATCTTCATATATTGTTTTGTTGAATATTGCTATCTCATAAAATTTTTATTTTAGTGAACGTTAAATAAAATTATTTAAAATGTTATTAGTAAACATTGCACAGTACATTAGGCATTCAATAATCGAATAACATGATTAAAAAAACATGAAAATAATTTTAGGTATGGTGGTATACGGCGACGCAAGACATGAGCTATTGATATCTGCCTTGGGAGTACTGTACCTCCCGAAAGAACTTTTTATGGGAAACTGGCACCAATTTAGGTGTTACAAACACGAAGAAAACCCTGAAAACTCTGTGTGGTCATTCCGTTGGTCAAGCCCGAACCCGCGATCAACTTCCAGTGTTCGGTGATTTTTTCCATTCGGTCATTGGTGAACTCTGATCCCTAGGTAGAGCTGATATTTATAACAAATGTTGTTATATTATGCTACACTTCTCAAAAGTGAAATCGCAACACCATGAAGGAATGTGCATAGCCACCTGCAAATTGCAGGAACGGTAGAGTTGACATAAATGTGCAAATGATTAAGTTTGCGTACGCATCGGGTCATATAGTGCCCAGGCTATAAAGATCAGCAGCCAGCTCAGGCCGCAGATACTATCAGCGACGTTTCGCGGCAGCAAAACTTTTGAAGGAGCATAGAAAATGATAACAGCGAACCGAATACTGGCAGTTAACGGTTAAAAAACGAGACCGTATCCTGGAGCTGCGCGACCTCGGTTTGTCAATGAGCGCAGTTGTCACGCATGGTGGGCAACGACATAAGTACCATCCAGCGATGTGTGATACGATGGACGCAGGAGCACCTGCGAACACTCTGAAGAGAGAGTAGATCACACTGGCCCACAACAAAGCGCACAGACCGGCAGATTGGTCTGTCAGGACCAGTTCGTCATGGCAAGTGACAACCAAAACCAGCTATCACCGCCAATAGGCGCATCTGCGTCCACCCAAACCATTCGCAACAGGTTGCATGAAGTCTGACTACAGACAAGGCAACCAACAACCGGGTTGTCATTAATCTCTTGACACAGGATTCCACGTCTGACGTCACTGCAATTGGACCACTGAATGGCATCGGGTATTGTTTACGGATGAATCCCGCTTCTGTGCGAGGAAGAATGACGGCCACGGACAAGTGTAGCAGTATCTCAGGGAACGCTTTATGCCTGCCCTTTTCACCGCGCATCACATCGGCGCACATCGGTCATGGCTTGGGGAGACATATTTGATCAGGGTACAGTCCTGGTGCACATTTCTGGAACTCTGACAGGTGAAAAATTGAGGTTAATTTTGAAACAATTGTGTTTGAATTTCATTAAGCTTGAATTAATGAAAAACCTAGAAATAATTAATTTATTTATCTATTCTATATTGTTGAATTAAGCTGAGTATATCTTGAGCTTAATTAAGTGTGAAGAATTCTTGAAAGAAGCTGATAATGTAGTTCAGGAAGGATGGTGTATTTGAAGTTTTACACATTGCTTGAAGAAATCCAAGTTGATGGTGAACATCATGATTAAGTAAATGATATAAGGCTAAATTACTGAAATTCTATGGTATTGTATGTGGAGAATTAATAAAATTCTTATTTTTATGATTTAAATAATATAAATTATGAAGCAATGTTTAACGAGATATTTTTATATACAAAACTAAAAAGTGGTATTTTTGGTCTCAAGTCTCGTTCATTACAATCTTTATTCTCTACAAAAAACAAAACAAACCAAAAATATCAGATTTGATTTATTTTATTTATTTATTTATTTATTTTTGGCATTTATAGTATAACGTGGCTATTGCAAGACAAAATTTACATGTCAACATGATGTCACTGCTCTGCAGTTTCCAATCATTGTTCTAAGAAATTTTCTTTAAAAACGGATTTTAGAGATGACGCCAGGGAAATTTAGATTTGAGCGTGATTTAAATAAACATGTGTCATTGCTCAGGCAACGCTCGATGCCTCTGATAACTGACGTGAAGTATGCAGCAAACGAATAAATTTTCTCCTTTAGTTCTATTACTAAAGAGCTTTAATTAAAGAAAGAAATAGATAAACAGTTTTCGTACAAAACTTTTGCTACAAAAATTTGGGAAAATAAATTGTTTGAAATATGTAAATATAATTAATATTTTAAATGATAATTGTAATTTTTTAATTGATGTTTTATATTTATTATGAACTTTAAACATCCTGTTCTGTATGTAAGATTCTGCCAAAGCATATGTTTATTTAATAAGTTAATTTTATATTTTTGTATTTATTATATTTAACTTAATTATTATAAACACACTTTTTTTGCAATACAAAAAGAATAAATAGTAATATATTTACGTATTGTAATAATTATAACTTATAGAAAGATATACTCTTGAATCGGAGTCTCGTCATTATCGCTCTTTAAATATTATAGTAGATATAATTAAATAATATTATTTATTTTAATGAAGTATGAAAAAGTTTAATAAAAAATCACGTGAGTTCTGGTCTGGACTGGAAGATCTTATATATGCAGTTACCGTAATCGGGGTCTGCGGTCTCAGGATTTCATATCTACACCGTGTTCTGTAACGCAGAACATTAAGTTACAATTCTGAGAAGCTTACTGGGCAGAGGTAAGAATATTTTGAGCATTATTGAACGATTATTCTTTGCTAGACAACTAGGAAACTGGCGGGCGCAGTTAAAATTAAAATAAAATAGTAATTTCATCTTTAACAGTACTGTAAAAATGTTCCAAGAAAAAATGTAGCCTGAAAATAGCCCATTAGAATAGGTTTAAAACTTTTGCCAAATAAAAGCGGATCCCAGCAGCCAAAAAAAGTGTTTATGGATTTATTTTGAATTGTTCTGCTGAAGTTGATTTAGATTAAGATGTCTTTGTAACAGAGATAAACAACTTGAAAAATATTTCACTTTGAAAGTTTGTATTTGTATTTTTTTTTTTTCGGTCTTTCCGTCCTGTGATCACCAAGAGGGCCTCTTATAGCATGCCCATTATGGGTTCGGCCAGGCTCACAATGGGGCGGCCTGGTGGTGTAGGACGGGGGCCAATATATGAAAGTTTATATAAATGAAGCATTTTGTTGTTTCGTTCGTCACTGGAAACGTCGCGAAAACATCTTTCAAAAAGATATTATCATTTATAATAGAAAAACTTAACATTTATATAATTTCAAATGGCACAGTTGTAGATATTGTAAGCAATATAAATGAAATAATCTAAACCATCTCGAATGAGAATTTCAACAAATTTTATAGTAAATCATAAATAAAAGTGAATTATTTACTAACCTTAAGTCGAACAGGTTTTGCTTGGTGCAAAATAGTTTTTACAACTTTGGAAAACATTTCTTTAAGAAAAGCGCATCCAATATTCATTTTTTCGAAGAGCATTGTTAACGCAACAATGGAATTCAATTGTTAAAATTGTATTGTATCGTAGTATGATGACGCCAGGAAGTAAATGTAAGGTGGTATAAATAGAAGATTTACGTACCTATTTTTAAGTGAAAAACAGTTTAATATTCCCTAATATTAAAATAATATGAGGAGTTTTTAAAAATAAAATAAATCTCAGCAAATGGACTTGTTAGCGTTTCATCTCTTAATGTACAGTACAGTACTTGATAGAATACATTGCGCTCGTATACCCGCTCGCTACTATTTAGTAGCGGGTGTTTTAAACTCATTTTTTCACCTATCGCCAGTAGCGTAGCGTGGGTGACAGCCGCCCGGGCCAAAGGAAAATTTCGCCGTCCCCTTATTTAGGTATCTCAATTTAAAAGACTAAAATTCAGTTTCGTCACAGAATAAGTAATGAAAAATTCCGTGCTAATGTTGCCACCTTTTTAAAATCGCTGACCCGGACGGCAGGTGAGGTTTGTTCGAACAGAAGTTGCTGATGCATGCGTAATGTCATTTTGCAGTGCGAAGAATAATGTGCAGTGCATGCCGGTTCTAAATCAGTTACAGTTAGGGACTAGGGAGACTTGGGTGAAAAACGTAAGTAACCTAGATGACAGCTCTATTAGATATTGGAGATGTCTATGAATACCAATCCTATAAGCAAAGGAAAAAAAAAAGGTCGACAGGTTGCGCACGATATTCCCGGACAAAATTAATAGCTTACCCGTGCGACGAAAATATGAAATAAAATGGTTCAAATTTTTACAAGATATTATTATTTATTGTGAAATTTTGCCGCCCCCACTACGCTACGCCACTGCCTATCGTGTGATAGGCAGTGGCGTAGCGTAATTTTATATTATTAATTTTATAATGTCTAGTTAAGTTTCCATGATAATAGAACGTCATTCTTATATTTTTAAAATTTTATTTTAACTTCTTTTTGGCACTAAGATGGTCTCTTTTAGCAAGCCCATTATGGGCTCAGCCAGGCCCACAATTGAGGGCCGGGTGATGAGGGATGGGACTCGACATATGGTCGCGTTTCTCTATGCAGCGCTGCTCAATAGCTATACAGCAAAGCGTTTCTAAATGAAACGCTAAAATGTAGTCAACCGTTTCCTGCAAGAGGTCGCTGCAGCAAAGATAAAGCAGCTTTTATGGCAACACTGTCTGAGCGTATCCCATCCCAGATTACCATGCTCTCTCAGTGATGCCAGATTGGGCTACAAGTAGCGGATTGGGCTACTTTTTAAGTGCTCTCGCTACAAAAATTTCAAATTGGGCGACACGCTACTTTTTGGGCTAATGATAATTATCTTCAGGCTACAAATCTTAAAAATACGCTACTTTTTTATTTTCATATATAAAATCGCAAAACACTTATTGTATTATACAAAAGTAATAAAGTTTTATTTTATTTCATTACACTTAACTATATAAATAAAGTTGCAACGTTTAACAAAGATTAAGATATACTTTGCTTCCGTTTTCCATCAGTCGTTCGCTCCAGTAGACAATCCACAACTTTACAAGCACGGAGGCGACCTTGCTTGTGAAATTGTGGATTGTCTACTACCAGCATTATCCTGTTGGAATTGCCAATTTTCTCGCCCAATAAGTGATCCAAAAGTTATTAAATTTTAATACAACAGTTCTTGATACAATGGAAAAGGATGGCCTTAAAACTGAAAAGAAAAGCCGCAGTCGCTAAGTCTCTAAGTTCAAAAAATGAATCGCCTCGCCTGCGAATGACTCGCTTTGATTTAGAGAAAATTGATGCAGATACACCGAATGTAGCTAGAACAACGCTTGAACAAGGTAATATGTAGTTTTACTCCATATCTTCTACGTATCTGTGAAAACCTGAAAAACGTCATTCTGATACAGGGTGTATCAGAATAACGTTTTAAAAATTTGGAAGATTCTAAAGGATGAAATTTTGAACGTTTTGGTATAAGAAACCTATAATCGAAAATTTGAACTAAAGTATCTACAGCGGTAGTAAGTGCTTGACCGCCCTTCACTTTGGTAGTTACCCTTCCATCCATTGACGTCATGATATTGCTGCGGATAAAAGACT